AATACCATAAATGAAGACAAAAGTAATAGAAAAGGAAAGAAAAAAGATAAAAAGAAATTAGCAAAAATTTAGAAACTTCAAAACAAAATCTTCAACAACTATTTCCAATTTCAAACCACAATTGCTCCAACAAAAAAAACCCTAAATCACAATGTTAAGAGTGTCAGTCTCAAGACTCCCAAATTTTCCTTTCTCAATCCCACAATTTCTAAGCAACCAAACAGAACAAAAAAAAAAGACCCTTCGTTCCCAGCTTAATTTCACAACATTCGGTTAAAAACAATTAAAAAACCAAAACCCTAAATCTCCATTTTCTGTGAAAGAGAAATCTTATCTCAAAAACAACAGCAGCAAATCGAAGATTAGTCCAAAACAACCTGGGTTTCGAAGAGACAACGCATTGACTACACCGAATCTTCAACTCCATCAAGCAATGTGTTCAACAAAACAAACATCAACTACACCGAATCTTCAACTCTATCAAGCAATGGATATATAAGTATAGAGAGAGCTGCAAAGATGTGAATGATGGAGTTGCAGCGTGAACAGCGGAGTTGCCAAATGACTTCATGGGAAACGATTTCACGGTAAAAAACAATTTGGGGCCTTATTTGTCACATACTAAAAAAGTCAAAAAGTCACTATCCTATTTAAGTCACATCATTTTCTTTAAGTCACCTCACCTCTCTACCACATCACTTCAAACTCAACTCATATTTCATAAAAAGTCAAAAAGTACACTTATTTAGAACATCTCAAATCCCAAATCACCCCTTATTCAACGCTCTTCAAAGGTAACCAGTGAGTAACATTGATGGTAAAATAGCCAACGTTTCTCCAACCCACTAGGCATATCATGCTTGTTAGTCAAAATGCCTAGTATAACTTATTTTTTTCAACTCCAATGCACTAGGCATACGATTAGGCATTTTAGCTCAACTCACATTCACTAGCTACATGTAGCTAGCCTTCAAGACTAAGCAAAATATATTTAATCATTAGGATCATAAAAAAAAAAAAAAAAAAAAAAACTGTTTTTTTGGACCAATGGGAGGTGACCCCCAGTACCCCCACTGGGGGTCCAAAGCTTTATTCAATTAATAAATACTCACCAAATTTGGATGACAAAGAGAATTATAAAATAAGAATTTATGTTTTGTTCATTAAGAACTTGTTTAATGTCTATTTGTTATGTAAATAAGATAAATTTAAAAATATATTCTAAAATTTATTAATTTTTTGAGATCAACTCACATTTAACCATCCAAACTCAACTCGTGATTAACATGATTAAATTGTATTTAAGATTGTCTCAAAAGATAAATTAGTCAACTAAATTTAAATAATTGACTACTCAATTGTACTTGACTTATTCAGATATCTAATAACAAAATAGTAAAATAGATTTGAATGTTAGCATCCACTCCATAATAAAACTCCTATATTAATTTAACACTGAATCCAAAACGCCAAGAAGTGAAGAGGTAGATTAACTACAACAAACAGATCGTTACCTAACATCTTTTTGAATATATACCCCAAGAGCTCCTCCAACTTATCAATATTATGTAAACAATTGTCTCAATCTACTTTATATATTTTCAACAGGGGTTGGTGATTGATTACCCCTGAGAATTGCATTGCATTGGGCGAGTAGGTTTATTATGCCAATGGCATTTTTGTCTTCATCGGTACCTTTCAAAATAGTGGGCACAGCTCAGAATTGCTTGTTTTGACATTGGAATGATAGAGACTCTTCACTTCGTGTTAGAGACTAATGTCGGCCAAATAACATGAAATGAAGGTCGGTTGGTTTTTTTGGTAGGAATGTCATGAGATTAGTTTCAATAAAATTGCGGTTAAAAAGAATAAAAATATGTACAAATATTATTATGTGGTTCAAATTCATTTTAAGTGTATTCTTACACCTAAAAATGAATTTTTTTTTTTCCCCTTTCATGATTATCACCTTTATAATGCTTAGTTTACCTATACTTTAGAATTTGATGCATGTATATATATATATATATATAATTTGTTTGCATTAAAACTTTAATAAACCTATTCATAGAATCTTCTAGCTTTTAGGATGATGGATGACACGTGTGGTGGAAAAATGCTATACTTTACACATACATGCGCAGACCAAAAAAAATAATTTAGATAAGTAAAAATTAGCAACAGGTCTTATAGATCACACTTATTTACGTATAAATCTTGAATTTATTTATTTATTTACCACTCATTTTGATAATATATATATATTTTTTTTTTGGGGGGTTTGGGGGGGGGGGGGAGAGATATTTTTTTGATATTTGTTTCGTGTTTGTAGAATGGTCATTTATCAATGATAATAATATTGAAAAGCTTATCAAAGTAATAATTAAATAAAATATTTTGACATTTATATGCGACTTTTTAATTTATTTATATTAATTTGTATTGAAATATAATTTGAGAAATGTTAGTAATTGAATTATATTTTTTAAAAATATCTTTATAATGATAAATGATTAATAAAAATTGAAACAATACATTTGGTCCTGTAATTGTGAAAAAATAAAGGGTAAATTACAAATATATCCCTGAAATTTGATTAAAATACGAATCGTCCCCTGTAATTTTCAAAATTACATTTCATCCCCTGATATATCTAATTTCATAACAAATCAGCCCTTTCATTAATAAATCATTAAGTCAATTAATAATTTTTAATGATATTAAAAATATGTTTCAATTAATAATTTAGATAATTTTATTATTGTATAGGATAACAATTATGAATTTTATTTTTTTAATTAATTATGTTAAATAAAAAAATTTAATAAGAGGATATTTATAATTTTTTAAACCACAATGAGCAATTTATATTTTAAACAAATCTTAAAAGTATTTATAATTTATCCAAAAATAAATAAATAAATAAGTTGAAGAATGGGATCATTATTAGGGCCGGGTCACCAAAAGGGAGGGTATTCCGTCTGGAATCAAGATTCTCTCCTTTCTCTCTCTTCTTGCTTTTCTACTTGTTAGGCCATTGTGCTCACTTTTGGGCCTAATTTTGATGATATGAACTGTTCATATTTTAAAATTTGTTAAGTATATCATACCTGTAAAAAATCAAGTTGATAAGATATCAGAAATTACGTGTTCGGATCATCAAACTAAAAACCATTTTTAAAAAAATTTAATAAACAATTTTCCGAACACGTAATTTTTGATATTTGATCAACTTGATTTTTTACCGGTATGATATACTCAACAAATCTTAAAATGTAAAACGGTTTGAATTATCGAAATTAAGCCCAAAAGTAGGCCCAATAGCCCAGCAAATAGGGAAGCAAAGAGAGAGCGAGAAGATGATTCTGATTCATCCATCTGGGCCCCACAATGGCCCCACAATGAAGAGATGTGAACAAGGTGGCAACCCAACCAGCCTTCCTTCAGACCAAAAGAAGAAGATTCGTCATTTAAGATCAATGAGACAATAACCACCGCTAGATAGGAATGGCAACGGGTCGGGGCGGGACCGGGGGACCACACTCCCCGTTCCCGATTCTTGAAGGTTAAAATATCCCCGTCTCCATCCCCGATCCCCAGCGAGGAAACTCATCACCCCCCTCCCCGTCCCCAACGGGGATCGGATATCCCCGACCCCGAAAAATCCCTGAGGTTTTTTCTATTTTTTTTATTTTGTTTAAGAACAACAAATCAACTAACAGATCAACTGCAGATTTAAATTTTTAAAAAAAAATCTGAGAAAAAAATAAATATATATATATATGTTTTCATGATCATCAATAGATTTAAATTAAAAAAAAATCTGAAAAAAAAAACATATCTAAGTACTGACAATCAGATCAAAGTGAGAGAGAGAGAGAGAGAGAGATATAACAGATCTAAGAGACGGTGGTTGTGGCGGTGGGTTCGATGGCGATGAGAGAGAGACGGACCTTCTGCGGCGGTGGTCATGAGAAACAGAGAAAGACAAACTGGAAAGAGAAAGAAACCGAGGTGAGGAGAAGAGAGAGAGAGGGGTCGGGGTCAGTGGTGGTAGTGGGACACGGCGACTGGAGGGTCGGGGCCAACAGTGGTGATGAGACACGGCAACTGTGAATTGAGAGAGAAGAACGAGAGAGTGAGAGAGTTGAGAGAGAAGAACGAGACAGAGAGAGTGAGTGAGAAGAACGAGAGAGTGAGAGAGTTGAGAGACAGAGTGAGTGAGTCAGACAGTCAGATATAATGATACACTAGATATAATACAACTAAACACCAACACAGGTATTAGCGGTAAAATTTCGAGGCAGGGCTGAGCCGGGGCCGGGGCCTAGGAGCCTATCCTCGTCTGCGGCTCGAAAATCATCGAAGATGTATTTTTCAATACCGGCCCTGACCCTATGGAGAATAATTTTCGAGAAAAACCCTATTTATCAAGACGGAGCGGTCCGAATCCCCGTCAGGCCGAGTCCATTTTGCCATCCCTACCGCTAGAGCCATTTACACACCAATTTTAATTTCTAACTTACATTTTATTAAATTTTTAATAATTAAAATTACCCTTTATTATTATTTATAATTATCTATAAAAAAAAATATAATAACTTAACATTTATTTTAATTTTTAAAACTTTAAAATATCAATTTTCAAATTTTAAAAAAAAAAATTTAAAAAATTATGTGCAATGTTTTTTTTTTTGAAAAAATTAAAAAAATTGAATTATTTTTTTGTACAAAATTAAAAATTTTGTATCTATAAAGGAGCATGATGATGAAACATTGATATGTAAAACTGAAAAAACTAATAATATTATTAGTTTTAAAACTTAAAAAAATTGATAATGTTCTTAATTTTATTAGATAATTGAATCAAACCAATAAATAAAAGGGCAAAAACGTTTAACCTCATTATCTTTTTTATCAAATAGTGAAACAATTATCTGAAATATTACTATACAAAATTGATAATGCTGTTAATTTTAAAAATTAAAAAAAACTAATAATATTATCAATTTTACCAAATAAAACTTATTGATTTAAAAAATCTTATGCAGGACCTGACCTACCAAAACATTTATAAATAAAATTTTTGGACAATTAACTCTCTCTCTCTTTTTTTTGTCCTTTTCCTGTTGTCCACGTGCGTTGCTTTTTTTTCTTTTCAAAATTTCTTCCAAAGGAAAATTACCAAACCTCACTTTCACTGATTATTCAAGCTACCCATTAGTTTATGGAAAGAAAAGAACAAAGGTGGAAAAGGAGATATTTTTTTTTTTTTGAAGATAGAGATAGTGTAAAGATATTTGTACTACTTGCCGTTAGCGGTTCCATACTTATGGAAGGGCCAAAGGTTTACCAGCCGCTCAAGCACCGCTGCGCTTTTGGAGAAGTAGCCGGAGAATCCATGGGGTGTTGCTGGTGGGGGAAAATCTTCTGCTGGCATGGCAAATGGCCGAATCATCTTCTCCATCTTCTCTAATGTCAGATATGACCCGACTTCTTGTAGCCTTTCAGGACCCATTATTCGTAATGTGTGCTCCTGATGCAACCAGGCAGCTTCACTATCGTTCTTCTGCAAAGTGTAAAAAATTAAATTAAAAAAAAATTCACTCGCTTTAGGTTTCAGCATATATAACGATTTTCCAGTATACATATATGAAAATTTTTGCCGAGTTTTAGATGAAGTAACTTTGAATCTCCAAATTTTAGATCAAGTCTTTCTATGTTTTTAAAGAAATGACCAAAGCTAAAATTTCAGAAAGAAAGTAAACTTCGTATATTTTTTCGGCTAAACATGTCTAATTATTCAATTTGTTACGTGGCTAGTTATAAAATGGTCCGATTCACATTTTTGGGACAATCAAACAGGGTCCTAAGGTTAATATCAAGTGGTTAAAGATCTTAAGGTTCTGTTGAACAATCAGTCTAGTGACCATACAAGTCATTCTTTCAAGTAGTAGCTGCCAAGCATACCCAATAACAGGGTTGGTAGATTTCATGGTAATCTTTCAGTTACATATCCTCTAATTGAAGAAACATTACCTCCAGGGGAGATAAATCTGCACCTCGGCTAAAAGTCATCTCAATGCGGAACCTTTTTGGGTCTTCTAAAGCTACCTGCAATTCAATTTGATAAACTCATTGGTCCGAGCAAAACAAATTTATGGATATTCCATTATTAATATGAGAACCTTTCAATTTGCAATAATTAATTCTACAATTCAAGAGAATGAGCATTTAATCACACAAGCACATATAAAATCCCTAGGTTCTGTCAGAGTTTTCAAGCTCTAATAAGCAAGGTCATGATCTCAGCTTGTGTTATATTAAGTAAATTCAACACAACTCAACAAGCCTATGTCCCAATTGTATTGTAGCAAGCCAGGTTTAATTTAAAAGGCCTCGATGTGATCATTTTAACGCTTTTACATTGTCTAGACTGCTTCAACATTGAAGGATGAAAAGCATTTTTCTTGTCAGTGAAGCAAACTACAACAGTTGACCAAAGCCAAAGACCTATCTAACAAACCCAACCCAGTTGGACAAACGAACCACCAAACTTAAAGACCACCAAAAAAATCGCTCCAACCACTGGGACAAAATGTAAATCAGATGCCAATATTGTGCAAATAGGTAAACCATGTCCTTGTTTTAACTCCCCGGAGTGATTTTCCTGGTGGGATGATAGTAATGGAGAGCAAAGTAAAAAAGGGCCCCAAACCATCCTTAAAACATACCTTTCCTTTTCATAAGGACCCATTCCAATCGTCATCTATTATCCCAATACATTATGAAAAGCTGTTGTCTAATATCTAGATTTATTTAAGTTTAGCCTTTTTGGCTACATTTACCCATTTTGTAGTTAGACTCAGACTAGTTTACTATGAAGCACAAACACACCAAAAATGGTGTAGGGGAGCATGAATCGTGTAATGGACACGCCTAGTTTACTATTTTCACCCATTCCAATTTTTAGTTTTTCTGTAATGGACATGTCTTGGATGTGTGCCCATGGTTGAGACATGTCCTCAACACGACTGGGGTCAGTTTACGATTCTGAAAAAGTCGTGGATCATTGTTTGATTTCAAAGGGATATGGGATTTACATGATAATGAGTTAGGTGGTACTTATTTGTTTGGAGGTTAGGTGGGATTTACACTTCATAATCACTTGCATACACGATATTCTAATTGGAATTTTGAAATAAAAACAAAAAAGTACACCTGCTACCACAAAAAATGATTATGTACAAACAAAAAGAAGTTTTTGAGTAAAGTTACCTATCATTTTTGTTCATTAAGTTGATGTAGAAATACCAACCTCAGTGTTCTCAAACATCCTCAAAACAATATAACTCATGTAGTCAAGCTCCTTTGTTTTGTGCAAACGCTCCAAAGCACTACGGCAAACAAGGCTATCCTCTCCTTGGAGAGATTCATCCAAATTACAATAACGGAGGACATTCATCAGGGAATGAATATGTGACTCCTGTTATTTAAAAATACACCAAGTTCAGTGTGAATATGAAATAGCTAAAAGGAGATCAGTTGTATACATAAAATTCCACATTAACACCTCAGAAATTTGATGAAACAAATGATAAACAAAACTTACACTCAACATATTAAAACGACAAGCAAAAGCCAAACTGCACAACATATGAAAAGGCCAAGGGAACTTGAATAGCCTTTGATCTTATCAATAGTAGATCTTTTTCGTTTAAATAAAAAGGTTGAAAGAAAGACAATCATTTCTTTTTTTCTTTCAAGTATAATGTATCTAGGATATTTGAGAGGGCTTTGACATTTTTTTTTAATTTTTTTTTGTTTTTTTATTTTTTGCACTTCTTGAAGATGGACAAATATCTATACAACCGTGTGATTTGTGGCAACTGAAATCTAACATTTTCTTTAAAGATCATGCTCCTGCTCCTGCTCCTGCTCCTGCTCCAACTCCAAACAAATATTGAGAAAGAGAATATCCCTCTTGAATAAGCCATTTAAAATAGCAAACCTTGTCATATTTTTATTTTTAAGAATGATAGAGGCTTGCAAGGAAGATACCCACAATTCAGTTAATATTGGGAACTAAATCGAAGTGTTCCCATCTGCTTGAACACAGTCTTCAGCAATTAACCAATACCACAATAAAACAGAAAAACTTATAAGTTGGGAGGTTTTATTAAATAGGGTGTCAGGGAGAAGAAAAAAGAAAAGAAAAAAAAAGAAGGAAAAAAAAAGATGTTTGTAGTTGCATTATTTTGAGAGATTTCGTTGTAAAGGGATGCAAGGATCTTCGAAAACAAATTTGAGGATCTAGGGATATAGGATAGGATTTGTTATATAGGATAGGATTTGTTATATATCTTCATTTTGGGTTTAAGTTTCTTCTCCTTTAAAGGAATTCCATTCTATTTTTATTGGTAGGGATTGGAGGGCAGTGAGTGATATGTAAACTTTTTTTTGCTCATTTTGTGTATTTTGGTGGACGATTTGTCCTCCACCTTCTTCTACATGTTTTCTTTTCCTATTTTTAATAAAATATCTTTGTTGCCAATAAAAAATTAATAAATATATATTAAAACAATTGTAGTTTTTGGATGCTAACCAAATTGTTTAAAGGATAAAGAATAGCTTAACTGTGATTCTTTAGAAGCATACAAAAATCAAATGCTTTCAAGTCTTACATCAATACCAATTCATAGTATGCGTCCATTAACTAAATAATTTCTGTTTCTTGATAATTTTGTGAAGCCAGACTGATATTTCTCCATTGGCTTTCTTCTTTTTAAGTAATGATTGTCTGCACAGAGAAACATAACAGGAGCATTTGATATTTCTTGATGATTCTAGTCAAAACTGAGTACAAGACATTCCTGAGCAGTTATTAAATTATGTCTTAATTTTGTAGATATTAATTAAGTGTAATTCTGTCTCACCAAATAGGCTTTAGCAGATAATTTCTTACTATGTTACCTATATACTGCGTATTAATTAGCTGCATATTCTATTTGTGAAACTTGGAACACTTAGAAAGAAATATAAAGGAAAAGAGAGAAAAAGGGAGAGATTGGGGGTTCAACTCCCCTAGGAGCTAATATAACAACTAACAATTGACTTTCACCAAAAAAAAAAAAAAAAAACAGCAAGAGAGAGAGGCCATGCAAAGTTGGGTGGCGAACAGCAAAATTCTGCAATGAGTATTGCGACATTAATGGTGCCAACAACAGGATTATGTAGTAATTTTACTAACCGATGTGAAATAAAGGCGTGTCCGCACATGTCGTTCTGGTGTTTTCACATTAGCATACCTGATGGAAACAATAGGAAATATAAGTTTTACTAATAAGACAGAAGTCTCCATATTTCCTTTAACATTTTATTAAAATTTCTGTTTCATATATGTACTCGTTTAACCTATATTAGCGTATATGAGTGAGGTTGCATGTAATGTTACAAAAGGTTCATATACTCACTTTGGATCCAAGCGGTATTTGATCTCTTTATCATCATCATCATCCTGATCCATTGACATATCACTGGTAAAACTAGCCCGCCTGCCATCTTCATTCTTACTGTGATACTTCAAATGGTACTCTATTTCCTCTTTCCCAATTTTAGTGGATTGATCTTGATTATTCTTCAATTCAGCAACACTGATCGCTTCTTCACGAGTATTCCTCAGATCAATTAAAATTTTACCCAGCAAGCGACGAGCAACCTGAGTGCCCACAAGTTGAGGGTAAAAATTAATACAAATTTGTGTCAAGAATCATTCACAGCTACAGATGTATTATTATCATGTACAAAATTGAGGCTGCAGAAAATATACACGATATGAAGATATGATAAGACTACCAATCAATGCAAACTGAAATTACATTTTAAAAGGATCATCCAGACCCTACTGTAAGCGGAAGCCTTGAGCACTGGATACAACATGTTTATAACTGTGCAGTGACAATGTTATGACATATATGTCTGACGTGATGCTGCGTATCCCTGGCAACATTTAGATATGTTCATGACTCAACCTCCAATACACCAAAACATACCTAATCAGTAAGGAAAGACAATGAAACTTTTAATTATTATTGTATAGCATGTTTTATCGAAAAGTCCTACACTTTCATAGCATGTTTTCTTGATATAACATAAACTACCCATTGTAGTTGTTACCCCATTGCTCTGTTCATCTATTGCACCCCTTGCTGATGTTGTCATTTGGTTTCCTTGAGAGGCCCAGTTTAAATGGGATTTGTCTAATGTTGGACCTGGATGGACAGATCCAAGATCCAATCCAATCTTAACATACGACGGTATGAGTATTCATTGCCATTTTGTTCATCACACTTGTAAAAAAAGGTTTTACATGAAAAGACTTAATGCTGTAAAATATTTTCATCCAAACAAATGGAGTTCAAGTAAAAGAAAATTTTCTTCCAAGAAGACCAAAAAGCAATACATGAGCTGCCAAAATAAATATATTCATAATTGCATCCACAAAAGTGAAATGGAATGGGATGCTACAAACAGGGAGTTTACCTTTGAGCCAATCTTTAGCTTCTGCTTTGGATTGATCCCATATTCATTAGGGATAACACCATCCGCAAGTAACTGAAATAACAAGGCAGAGCATTCAGCCTAACTGCAATGATGGCATAATATGAACAGAAATTCGTAGTGTTTCCAAGTAGAGATGCTTAACATGGGGATCATTCTATCCACAGTCTAATTCTTGCAGTCCCATATACCTGATTAGACTTAGTACTTCAGGGCTGCAGACAGCCCAATCTTTCTAATACAAACGGTAGACAATATCCGTCCAAAGGTACAGAAAAAATCAGAATTTATGGGAACAAAGGGGCATGATGCATGCACTGTAAACCACAATAACTTGTTCTACCGCGGCAAAATTAAGCAGGGCATAACATTGGAAAGACAATTCTTAAGGGGAAACAATACTATCTAAAAATGTAGTGATTACCTGACCAACTTTGAAGAGTTCACACAACCCTTCTAAATTAAGATGTGCATTGTGCAAGAGATCGTATCTGTCCATGGAAAATAGAACATTAACAAGCACAACAAGGATAAGAGGCATTGAGAACTGAGACAGAAAAAAGACACACAACAGCATATGTTTAGATGAAGCATGGGCTTTGAGCAGAATATAAAACAAGACTTGCACAGCCCGTCACATATGAAACAAGTATCACTCAAGCGGAAATGTTTTTATTTTCTCAGTAAGTTGATTTGAAACTAGAAAAACATAATCGTGATGAAGAGACAACAAAGCCACAAACCTAATCCAAACCTACATCTGATGATTTATGGTAAAAATGTTCAAACATTTTACAAGTTACATACACAGATACATATTACTAATTCAAACAGTTTAAATAATATGCATCAAGCTACAGAATTTTTCAGATGCGTGTGGAGGATAAAAAAGTTCAACATCACAAGAAAAAATAACCTGCAAACACCCATGAGGAGCCTTGTTAAGGTAGTTCTACTGAGGATCTTATTCACATTAAAACATAGTTTGCATAGCTCACCCTATTGATAAATTAGAAAGGTTTGATTTGGGAATAGTATTTTGTCCACAGTACCAGTCTAACATAAAATACAGGTAGATGACTTACTTGCAAGAGTCATAAACATCCGGAATTTGTGTAATATCAAACCGTCTGCAAGTGAATCCACTATGTTAGTCAAATCGCCTGTCTATCATGTCTAATCAATCACATCCACTACTTAAATATACAGGATCCGGTAATTAATTATTTTTGATCAATATCAAAATGAGTCTTGCAAAATGTCATCATAATACTGAAAAATTCTAAATATTCTATGCTGGATGATGATTATACATTGAAAACTTACTCTTTGCGTTCATTATACAAATCTCTCTCAAGCTTTCTCCACCGTGCATACATCAGAAGAAATCCCTCACTCCCACAGGGTAATCCAGCAGCTATACGATCAACATCAATGTTTGTCTTGCCAAGGGCCTTTGCTTGGTCATATGGAAGAATTACATCATATGATGCTGTCTGTGCAAGATTCTTATCTTCGTCAGTAGCAAGTAGTCTCACTTGTTCAGTGACCTTTTTAGTCAGTTGCACCTATTTTCGAGCATTCAATTAGAAGCACAAATGAAGGGAAAACCAAAATTAGGATCCTTTTTCTATTTGAGATCCGTAAGAATATTTGGTTTCAGAACTAGGGAATTTGAAGTGAACCAATGGCATGATGGAAAATAAGATGTAAATTAGGGTGGTGAAAGTAGTATCTACACTGATTTTTTTTTTCATTGCATAACTCAGCAGAATGAGAACAAAAACCACACTACAGGGTCAGAAAGGAATTTAAGATTTCTCATCAACCTATCAGATTCTGAGTAAATTCCATTTCATCAACCAATTGAAAAGTAAGATTTGAAATATGCTACTGAAGTTGATTCAGCCAAACTCCAATTACCAATTTGGGTAGAAGCTCAGAAGCATTACAAGGAAGTCCAGCTCCATCGACCGTCCAAGGTGCATCAGGCGATTTGTTGCTATGAATGTCCTTTGCTCCCGAAGTTATGATCTCGTTCAACCTAGCCTGATGACAGATAAAAAGAAATAACTGCTAAGATAAGGAAATAGTAGCAAAGCAATTTTCAATCTGGAATTGTTAAGACTTGAAACATAGAAACAGAACTTTATTTGATCAGAAAATATGGTTTGACATCCTAAATTGTATAATTGATTAATGTATGGGTATAGCAAGGAAAAACATTTTGTTTTGTTTCCATCAAAATGGGCAAATGCTGAACACACAATATTAGTGGAAGGAAACCAAATTTCCAGTGTTCACACTACAAAATTTTGTTCTATTTACCTATTTCGTTAAAAGAAAATATTGAATAACAAAAAAAAAATACTAAATTTATTAAACAAATCTGATAGAGTAGAAAGAAGAGGACTGATAGAAAGCTGATGAGAACATGGGCATGTTTAAGTCACTTAGTCTCATTCTTCGTTATCATAGGTACTGTTTTTTAAAAAAATATTATCGATGGTAATTTTTTAATTCCTATTACTAATTTAGTTATGAACCCCTTTCCCCAACCAACCATTAAAACATTTTGTTTAGTTTCTAATATTCATTGACCTTCATTGACCCTCAGCATTTTTGTTGATCTCCATAATGATTTTTTTCATTAGAAAAATATTTAAGTAAACAAACCAAATGTGCAAAAATAAAAGAAAAAAAGTTTCTATGGCAGTCAGCCAGTCACTCTTCCAAGCATTCATGGAATCCTGCTCCTGGTTCCTGCATTACTGTAGGTTAGATGGAATCAGGAAACATTAACAGGGCACATTTTTACATGTTTCAAGATTTTAGTTAGAATCGATTAAATGTCATTAATCTAACTGAATGTGATCTAAGTTGGAATTATCGTGTTTTTATCAAATCTAACAAGCGATTTTAAACATCATATATAATATATATAGTAGACAAGAAGAAAAGAGCATAGCCAGAAAAAAAAAAGAAAAAAAGAGCAAGTAAAACCTTAGCTTCTTCCATCTCAATACTGGCATTGTCAAGTCCATCCAACATAGAAGAGTCCTTGCTAACAAGTGAAACCTTCAAAATTGACCATTTTGGTCATATAATGTTTTAGTTGACAAGCATACACAAACCCTTCGGAAAAAAAGGATGTACCAGGATTGGTGTTAGCTGCCCTTCCAAGTCGAGGAGGCCTTTGGCAAATGCAGCTGCAGACATCTGTCAACAATATCTAATAAATGATGCCAACATAAAAAAAAATGCAAAAGTCGGACTAATGACGCCACACCTTAAGCATTAATCTTGCTATAATAGTTGGACAACAAAATGTTCAGGGAGGGATGGGGGATTGGAGCAGTCACTCAACAAAATGGAACAAAATCAAGATCAAAATTCAAATAGAGTGAAAAGTTGGAGCACAAAACACGAAAGCTATTAAAAAGGAAACTAAAAACACCAATAAAACCTCAGAGGCTATACCTGTACACGACCCTCATCAGAGCTGTATATCTTAAGATCATGACGATATGTACTATGGAGGCGAAGCAAGCCAGTACCTTCACCTGAAATTAGTGAGGGAGGGAGGGGGTTGGAGAAGCAAAAAAATAAATCAGCTATTGAATCACTATCATGACAAATTAATTGGACTTGCGGTTTAGAAAGCTAATAAACTTGTTTGTACACTATATTGCAAATGAAAAACCTCCGCTTAGCAAGTTGAATTTTTTAGGATAGTGTAGGTACATGAGTGGAGATCCTAGGCCCAAACCAGAAGCTATAACAAGTAAACATATAACGTAGCACCACTTTAGATACATCAGTGTCCGTGTATATTTTGATTGATGAAGCACCATGTTAAAAAATACTGTATTATTGATTGATATCTTGATTGATGTATTACAAGATTGATTATATTCTGTATATTACAAATCCTATATATAGAGGAGAAGATGGTAGTGGAGTGTGTGATAGTGGAGGTGGTAGGTGTGGAGAAAGATAGTGGAGGTAGTAGGTGAGTGGTAAATTCTGGTAAATTCTAACACACCATTATGATATGGCATAACATAGTCAAGTACAATGAAAACAGATGACCTATGTCCCAAATTATTGCTGCCAATTGACGATGATCAAATAAAAATCTATTAATTTCAATGATTTCATTCTACACTTTCAAGGTAGGAATAAATTACTATTAAATGTAGAAAGTGTATGAAAGAATTTAACCTGGATACATATTGTTGCGGAAAAATCTACCCAGTTCTTCAGCCTTAAAAAAAAAAAAAAAAAAAAAAAAAATTGAAAATAAGTACCCAATGTGTGCCATCCACTGACAAAAACACATATCAGTAATTCTCAAAGGACAATAATCATCAGAGTTTTGGTAATTGTTGAAATTGATGTATTATTGATTGATGTATGTTATATATTACAAATGGTGAGGGGCTCCTTATATAGGAGATGTAGTGGAGTAGGTGGTAGTAGGTGGTAGTGGTAGGTGTGTAGTAAGTGGTGGTAGGTGGTGGTAGGTGTGTAGTAGGTGTGTAGTAGGTGGTGGTAGGTGTAGTAGGTGGAGTAGGTGATGGTAGGTTTTAACAGCCCCCCGCAAACTAAGGGGGATAGGAACTAACCAACTTGAGTTTGGAGAGAGTAACAAAACAAGAAAATAATCTAAAAAATAAAAAATAGATAGGAGACACTGTATGGTCGTGTCAGACCGTTGTAGAAGACTGTATGGTTATGGCAGACCGATGTAGAAGACACTGGCTTGTGTTGGACCGATGTAGAAGACAGTTTATGGGGTCATGTCGGACCGTTGTAGAAGACAATGTTGTGACAGTTTACGGAGTCTTGCTGGACCCTTGTAGAAACTAACCGGAATCTATGTCGGGACCGTTTACAGAGTCTTGTCGGACCCATGAAGGAGCTAACCGGAATCAATGTCGGGACAGTTTACAGAGCCTTGTCGGACCTCAAAAGGTGCGCTCAATGTTTTTAAAAAGGCGTGCCATCAAAAGGCGTGCCCAAGTCATAAAAAGATGTGCCGGACATGATGGCGAGGCACGTGAGTGCCTTGGTCGGCGTGCCCGTTTGTCGTCTAGCGGCAAGTGGCGCGCGATACGCGTGGCTGCCTCGACTATTTAACCAAGGTTGAGGCGGAGGCTGTGCAAACCAGTCTGAAACCGCCGAAAATCCTTTGAAAAAACTCTTCCGGTTCTGAGAAAGAGATTCTGGAACACTCTGTTGCCATTCTGTCACCAACCCTTCCGAACATTACCAGTCTGAAATTGCTATTTTGCTTGCTGAAACACTTAGCAACCCAAAAACATGGCCTCTTCTTCCCGTCCAGCTACCCAGAACCTGCTCACGCTCTTTCCAGAACTGAACGAGCCCACAAGAGAAATAACTGGTGCGGTGGCCAGTGAACCTCAACCAAACACCTCTGGTTTTGCTCCATTGAACTTTCCGATGCGGTCGGTGGAGCAAAAAATGGCGATGCAAACTGATATTGAGGCTAATCAGTATACTCTGAAGTCATGTGTGGAAACCATGACGGCGGTCACAAACTTGTCGCACCGGCTGCAGAGCAGGACAAATGAGGTGCAACAGTTAAACTCCCAGCTGGCTCTGCTCCAACGCATGTATAAGGATGCGCGAGCAGAGATAAGCGTGCTAAGGGCAGAAAACAAGGAGCTGAAGCGGAAGGCCACCGTGATGTTCCGATTTGGAGGGCCGCCATATGCTGCAGTGGAGGAGCAGGGAGGAGGCAACTGGCTTGGCGGCACGGGAAACACGGAGGCAACACCGGCAAGAGCCGCCCAGGACGGAGGCAAGAAGAAGAGACCGGCGGCAGAGTAGGTCGGTTGGTGGCCGGCTGCAGAAAAGAAAACAAAGCTGTTGGTTTTGGTTTGTTTTGTTTTGTTGTTGTTGTTTTTTTTTTTTTTTTTTGTTTTTTTTTTTTTTGTGGTGATAAAATATATAGATTAGTGGTGGAATGAGGAGGAGTGCCTAAGGTGAAAATATTAAAATATATGTATAATAAAATAATATACAAGTGGATGAGGGGACAAAAGTAATGAATGGTGGTGACGGCGGTTATAGATATATATATATATTCTATAGACCCTAGTGAAAGGAATAATGGGTTTGGGCAACAGCACATTGTGGGGGATATGGTGTCTGACAAAAGAAAGAGGTGTGGTTGTAAAGTAAGAGAAACGTGGGTGGAAAAGGGAAAGTGGCTGTCAATCCCAGTTATTTCTTTTTCGACATCTTTTCTTGGTCTCATCAGAGGTGTGATTTTTGTGATTTTTTTTTTTTGATGGGTAACGGGTTGGGGAAGATCAGCGTCTGCTTCACCGGCAATGATCAAAAGAGGGTTTTTGTCCAGATCAGTTCCAGAGGAGGTACTCTCATGGTGGTTTTGCTTTCCGATCCAGATCGAGAAAAGGGTCGTTGATTCGAGTTCTACAGAGAGCGATATCGAAGACGATTTCTAGAGGGCAAAACTCCATTGTCGCGCCGATTAAAAGCGTTATTTCTATGAAAGAACAGGATTGGATTGTTGGGTCTGAGAAGCAAAATGAACTCACAGTCAGTAGTGTGAATAATCTGAGGAGAGGATGGTTGAACTGGATTCTTCCATTTCTTCTTTAGGAAGTTAAGTCGAGGTGATGAGGTGGTTGAACCCAGAAGGCTAACCGAGAACTTGGCTTTTGCAGGTAGCAGAGGCGGTGGAACCAGCATACGAGTGACTTTCGGGGTTGTAATAACAGGTGGTGGTGGTAACTCCAAACGAGGATATGCTGATTCTATTAGTGATATTGGATCCACTGAAATTTGCCTCTCCTGTTGTAGGCTCCCTATTTTGACCAACATATTAGTGGACAAGAAATCAGAATCGGGAAATTCATAGTCGGTTTCATGATCCGATTGCAAAGTGTCTGAAGGAGGAGGCTTGCTTGTGTGGCCATACCAGAGAGAGAGAGAGAGAGAGAGAGAGAGAGAGAGATGAAGCTGGATGATTAATGAATCAGAACAATAGTAAATGTTATGTGAGAATTGAAAATAAGTACCCAATGTGTGCCATCCACTGACAAAAACACATATCAGTAATTCTCAAAGGACAATAATCATCAGAGTTTTGGTAATAAATGAAAACACAGGCAATCACAGTAACAAATGAATGATGTGATAAAAATTAGCACCTGCTTTCTGCCAGCATGCGTAAGAACACCTCCATATTTAAGAACCATCAGTGCTTCAACAGGTCGTTCTTCTTCACCTTCCCCATTGCTTTTTGCAATTTTAACCCACTTTAATGGCTTTAGTTGAACCTTCCTATAAATGCCAGAGAAATGTCCCCCCTGGATGCCAAAACATTTACAACAGAACAAATAGAACATGCTGGAAATTGTGTTCATGCATATAATATGATAGTGGTGTTGGTGGTAGATAGTGGCATGTATAGAATATGATAGTGGTGTTGGTGGTAGATAGTGGTATGTATAGAATATGATATTGGTGTTGGTTGTAGATCCAAGGCGAGGCTGCCGCCCGCCGGTGAAGCAGAATTATTAGCTTCTTAACCTGGCTCTGATACCATGTTGAAATTGATGTATTATTGATTGATGTATGTTATATATTACAAATGGTGAGGGGCTCCTTATATAGGAGATGTAGTGGAGTAGGTGGTAGTGGTGGGTGTGTAGTAGGTGGAGTAGGTGGTGGTAGGTGGAGTAGGTGATGGTAGGTTTTAACAGTAATAAATGAAAACACAGGCAATCACAGTAACAAATGAATGATGTGATAAAAATTAGCACCTGCTTTCTGCCAGCATGCGTAAGAACACCTCCATATTTAAGAACCATCAGTGCTTCAACAGGTCGTTCTTCTTCACCTTCCCCATTGCTTTTTGCAATTTTAACCCACTTTAATGGCTTTAGTTGAACCTTCCTATAAATGCCAGAGAAATGTCCCCCCTGGATGCCAAGACATTTACAACAGAACAAATAGAACATATTGACAATTTGAACAATCGTTAGGTACCAATGTAAAAAATAAATGTTCTATGCCTGTCTTCAATGAATGGCACAGAGCTAATAGCAGTTGAAGCATATTGCCACCCCGGTTGGTTAAACGCAACTAAAGATAATTCACTAGCATTTAATGTTTAGGAGTTTTGGTTCACTATGGCATTTCTCTAGGTTTACATATATATTGTTCTTAGTAACAGTGAATGCACATGGTTCCAACTGAAACTATTTTCAGTCAAGTAGCAATCGCATAATGCAGATACCCTCAGACTCAATCAAGCATTCAGGTTGGGAGCCCAAGCATTTACCATTGCACCAGAAGTGTATCCCAACTTTGACTACATAAATATACCACACTTCTTAATAGGATGCCAATGTGTATCTTTTTAAGTGCCAAATGAACCCATAAACTAGACACCGGTAGCTTATAGCACATCAGTAATCAGCTATCACAAAAGTCCATCAGGTAAATATAATGAGCAGACTTGGGGTCATGTTGAGAATATTGGTGTCACCAAACACCGCAAATTTCAGGGATATGTTTATCCTACCCACTAATTGATGTAAGCTACACCTACAAGTTACAACTATTGTAAAGCCTTAAGAATGTATCAAATATTAGTAGGTGTAGCCGCCACATTTTGACCAGCTATAAAACTTAGGCCCCTTCTCTTCGTTTCTTGAGTTTCACGCTGTGATTATTCGTTATTTCTTTACTTAATTTTTTTTTAATGGCTCTCATCAAGAAAAATGTTGAACTCTGCCGCATCTACATGTTTGGATGGAAGGGAAAGGAAAGGCAAGTGTAGGTAGGAAGGGAAAGGAAAGAAAGGAAAGGAAAGGGAAGGGTTACTCTTCATATTGTGTGGATAACAAAGGGAGGGGAAATGAAGGGATGAGAAGCTAAGAAGCACAGACAATTCTATGGAGGAGGCGCGCACTTCACTACTACCCCCTACTTGTTAAATACCCAAACAAGTCATGCACTTCCCTTCAGTTGCCCTCAATCCAGATGTTGGCAAACCATTTAACTCTCTGATCCATAAAAAGTGACTCTGCGGCTCTAGACGAACATTATAAGTAATGACCATGATTTATTTGGAAACTTCAGAATGCATAATTTAAAAGACATATATGAATGTACCTCTTCAAGAACTGCTTTGACTTGACGAAGTTTTTCAGCATGCTCAATGTCTTCAGCTTCACTATCACTTTCCCGATCAGGTCTAAATGAGGTTAAATTTTGACATTAGCTCAGGCACATTACTTTTGTCGAAGCAGCATTCAATATCCAAATAAAATGTGAATTCTCCATTTTCACAAACAAATATTAACCACATAAGCATAAGTAGTTTGAAAAGGCAAGAAGGATGCTTTCTATGCTTTAAAGGCAAGTGTGTTATAACTTCTGGAAGTCATATGTAATGCGCTACAAATAGCGGGTTGGTTGAGAAGGGAGCGCACCTACTTTAACAATGAGCTAGAGTATAGCATGCAACCATCAAACTTGGTGATTTATGTTAAGTCATGGATAAAACTACTATTATTTTCTTTCATGGAGGAGTTGGTTGAAAATGTATTGTACTACATATATTTCATACAACGCAATGGAATTACAGAGAATTTTTAATTTTTTATTAAATGCGCATAAGAAGTGATACCTAGTACGTGGTACCAGAATTCTTGTGGCGTCTAACAAATCTTGCAGCTGAACAGCACTTTTAAGTTTTGTCTGCCGAAAAGAAAAAGAAATAGAAAAGACAAGAAAATTGAAGTAGCATTTACACAAACAAAATGATAGAATGATAAAGGGAAAAGAAGAACCTCAGTTCTAGGTCTCCCTCCATTGTATTTTAGCATCAAGTTTAACAGCTTTTCCTCAGTAACCTTTAACTTCACCTTCTGCTTTGGAGTTCTATCACCACTGACAATGAAAAAACATGACTAAATATTAAAAGACCAAGGTAAGTCACCAATGAAGACGAGAATAAAAGGACATATATCTTACTGACGAATAATAGCAATCACACATCTTAGCTCCTCAGCCTGCCCGAATGTGCCAATGATCCCACTTCCTTGACGTGTTAGTCCCTCAGAAGGTAGAACCGGTTCATTGACTTTCCATGGTAAAGTTGGTGGAATTGTTGAAGAAAGATGGGGGGCTTTTGCATCTAGAAAGATCTTCCTCAACACACAAGCAGCATCATCATAATATCTGTAATTAAGAAGAGATTCCATAATAATGTCTCACAATGACAACAAATGAACACTCAAAAACAGTAAGATAGCAAAGCAGAAGATAGTATGTCACAGTAGCAATATCTATTATGTTGTGCACAGAGGTATGCACAATGTTCACGCACTCAAAAGTGCTAATTGTCCATGTTCCCACTGGGATCTAATCATAGAAGAGGTTGAAACTTTGTGATGCTGGTGTTTCAACTTCCTCTTCATACCCAGAAAGAAAACAAAAAGAAGAAGAACTAGCAGAAGCATAAATATTGATGAATATTAACATGATTTGCAAATACTAACATCAGAATCACTGTAACAGATTCTAAAGCAACAATATAACTAGTATTACTTGTAGGAGTTCTTCACAAAACTCCATCCATTCACATCACAGACATATGAACGGCCTTCACAACGTAGAAGATCAAACCCACAGACCTGCAAGTAACATGAATAAATATAATCCATTAATCAAGAAGATAACTAATTACGTTGAAGTGTATTTGCAAATTGCATGCATGTGCGTGTGTCACTGAAGTATGTGTGCCACTGAAGATAAATTCTTACTGATTGCCTAAATGCAATGCAAACCTCCCTTGCCATTTCCTTCTCAGCTGGAGTAAGTAGCACAGGATACCTGATCTGCCATATCAAGTAACAACTTTCAGATATGCTTCTCATGCATTTCTCTCTACAGTTTAGAAGGAGTAACAATATACATATCCTATGGTTATTAGATACCAATTCATAGATGTGTATACAGAGAAATGCTTCGCGTGTAGTTCTAAGCTCACAACCTGATCACATATTTACTTCATTTCTTCTTCCTTTTTCAGTTATTTTTAAACTGATTATCCTAATTTTACTATTTTTGGAGGCCTCAAATTATATCTGAAGGAATAAGAAGTAGAAACCTAACACAAGAGTGTAGAATAGGATGCATTTAAAAAGCAGAAATTAGTTCAGGATTTGAGAATAGCTTTACTAAACTAAATCAAGTTTGGAAATGCTTAGTTTGTGTGTGTCAAAATGGAAGCACATAGTTGAGTTGCCTTTGACTATTGCCAACAACTAAACTCATCCTTCAGACGAAAAAGAAATAACTAAATAATTAAATAAAAAGCTATGAAACCAGTCATACAGATCAGGAGTCAATGAAACAGGCGTCACTTTCTTTCACTTTGAAGGTGCACTGATCACTAGGCCCCCAAAAAAAATGCCAGTAAGGCTATGCCAGGAAGGACTGTAAAAACATTACAGAACTAAGAAACCTTGCTCGAGGAGCCCCAAAAGGTAGGTAATCCATATGGTGAAACCTGAAAGACGGATTGCTTAAACCGGAAGCAATCAAGTCCTCCCACACAATGATTGACGGACGCATGTTACTGAAAACCTCAATAGATGAGAAGGTAGTTGACTGGCAAACCCTTGAATATACGTTAGCCAAACACCCGTATCAACTCAATCTAAAAGGGGAATAGACTACTGTGAACTGCAGAAAAACACCCCATACAACCTGCGGGAGTGTGTGCCTGGTCAGAAACTACTAACTTCAACTTTTTCACACTAGTTTTCTAAAATATGCAATGAAATTAAGTTACAGAAACCCATGTGAAAAGTGTTTCATGGTTATTAATTTTTTTTTTTTTTAATTTTTTTTTTCTTTCATATACACAAACAAAATGGCAATGTCATGTAGCACTGCACTTACTTCTTTTCCATCATGATTTCTCATAACAACACCATCAACAACAGGAGACTTCCTTGCCTCAGCATGTGCATACTCAGGGCCAACTGTGTACACCTACAAGAATTTTATAGAAGCTGAGGCAGTTTCTGCAAAAATTCTGATGTGAATATTCTTTGTGAGAAAAAATGTCAGACAAAAAACGGTTAATCACTATGCCACAATAACATCACAACAGCATAATCTTTAATACTTCATACCAAGACCAATAGAACAACAGTCTAAACCAAATTGATGATCATTTGAGGCTTTTGAGAAAGAATTAATGCCCATTAAAACTCCAGTTGGTAACCGAAAAGAACAGTATATTTATGCTTAAAACATAGAACCTGACACATGGTGCAAAAAGATGGATACATATGAATCTCCTAATTTATTCTTGCATACATACATGTCACAGTAATCATAATATCAGCTTCATCTTCCATTCACACCATATTCTCAGTCTTAATGTGATAAAGCCGTTGCCAAATTCATAATCAAAGTTCAAGAACAAGAAATTTAACAAAACAATTGATGTCAATAATAAACAAGACCATGTCATCCTCATCGGCGCAGTGAAAAGTTAAAAATAGGACAGAAAACCTTGACATCAGTTCCTCCTGTAGGCATAAATTCTTCATATATAAAAGAGCCTTCACGTCTCACTCTTCTAACCTCTGGGTGGAACTCACTTGACCGATTACCAACCTGAAAGCAAAGAGAAATAATATGAATCTGGAACATATGACTAATCACATATTTAACAAGTTCCAGACGGTCTTGAGGTCAACTTAGAAAGAGAGTAACTCCAATAATATGTTCTTCAGTAAAACTTCCAGCAAGATAATCTGGTATGCATGCAAGCATGTTTCTAATCACCGAATGGAAGAACTGAAAATATGTTTGGTAGAAAAGATAATTCTGAAGGTTAAAATTGAGGAATTGTTTTTGCAAGTGAATGGAAACTGATAAATGAAATACAAAAGATAACCATTTTTTTTTAATAAAAAAAATGTTATGTAGAGAAAAGATAAATGTGTATTTCTGATGATATTAACAGTCAAACAAAACAGAGCCAGGGAAAAAAAAATAAAAACCACAATGATGGAGGCCAGAGCCTACAATGATGGCCAAAGCCAAATCCTTTCAACCAAGAGAAGAGGATAGTCCCGAGATGCTACTTGATGTTGTTAGGTATGAAGGTCACTCAACGTGATCAATTGATTTGAAAGAGAATCACTCACTTCAATCAAGAGATTCTTGTAAAGAACATATGTTTAGAGTCAAAAACCATTTAATCTTTCAAGGATGTCCTAACAAAAAGTAAAATTATACCTAAGCAATTTAAGTACTAATTACAACTGATAAAGAGGTCATATTAAATTCTCACCTTCCGGAACAATTCTTTCATACCCCCACCAGCTGAACTAGGGTAATATATCATAATGCTGTGGTTATCGCCTTCATAAAAACACAACTCAAATTTGTTACCAATGCAGACTTAAAAATGATATTCGCACATAAATAGAGATACCAAAATATTTTAAAAAGCAGCATATTTGTAATTGGCCAAAAAAGAAATTTGTATCATATATCCAAGCTGCTCAAAATTGACTCTCAATGATCAAAATAAGATTCAGAAACTGATAGCCCTACAAAAATATAGGTTTAAGACACTAAAAGCAACTGCAATTGTCATTTTAACATACATATATGGTCCAAAATGTTTTATTCTGTTAAAATTGATGTATTATTGATTGATATTTAGATGTCTTTACAAGGATTCATATATATAGAAGAGAAGAAGGTAGTAGGTGAAGGAGTAGGTGAGGGTAAATTGGTGTAGTAGGTGAGGAGTAGGTGAGGGTAAATTGGTGGTAGGTGTAGGTAAATTCTAACAGCCCCCCGCAAACTCAAGGAGGGTAGAAACTAATCAACTTGAGTTTGAAGAGAGTATTGATTGATATTTAGATGTCTTTACAAGGATTCATATATATAGAAGAGAAGAAGGTAGTAGGTGAAGGAGTAGGTGAGGGTAAATTGGTGTAGTAGGTGAGGAGTAGGTGAGGGTAAATTGGTGGTAGGTGTAGGTAAATTCTAACATATTCCATAAAAAACAACAAAAGAACATCTCCATTATGGTTCTAATAATATTGTAGAACAGTACTGGAAGACACTTCCCTCCCACTATTCTTACAATCCAAGTTTATGTACTAAGTAAACATCAGATATTGTTGACAAACCAATAAAATATCACATCCAAGAGGGACTGCATCACATCACGTTATTTAGCCCAAATACTCACAACAGAAGTAGCAAAAACACAATGTCCAAATGATTGAGGAAACAAACATACCATTAACAGGCTTCTCCACAAAAGGCTTCCAAAAGCGATTCCCGTGAACCTCAATAAAATCTTCTTCCTCAACAAAATAATCCAGCTCTTGATACGGCACTTCTCTATTTACAAGGGCATATCTTGGAACAGGAATTCCATGCATTTCAAGACACTTGATTTTGAAAGGAGAAAAGAGGGGGGAAAAATGGCATTTATGTTCAACACTCAATTACCAAAATGGTAATAACTATAAAAACAAATGGTAACAACTATCAAAGGAGCAATTTACACAGTAAACTTTAATATGAATGAAGGTACACATAGCAAGCTTCTATAGTTATTAACATTTGAAAAGGAAAGCAAAATCATGTGTATGACCACCTTTCAAATGAAAAATAAGTTTGTCAGTGATAAAGAAAGGGAAGGCCCAGGAGGATCATGGTAAAAAATAGTTGGCTTCAATGTCAATGCAAAAGAAGTGAAGAACATGTAGGAGACAGTAGAGTAGAGAAAGAATAGAGTAAAGAGGAATGGTTAAGGATTCACGTGTCACTAAAACAAGAAGATTCAAACTTGTTATATCATAAAACACAATCTATCAGTACAATGAATACAAACCTTGACAACAAGATGAAGGATTAAAAAGCATACCTCATATACCTTCCTTCTATCATGAAGAAGGTGTTGTGGACCCAATTCATTTACAAGGAAAGGCCTGAAAAACAGAGGATGTACAGCATTCTGAGTAACCATTTATACATTTTGAACAACTGCAAAAGAAGGGTTCAGAAGCCTTTCCTATATTTTTTCTAACAAGGTACATCAAACATATAATAGTACCAAAAAATATTACAAACTAGAAACTCATACCACAAAACATTATTTTAAACAAAAAACAAAACAAAACAAAACAATGCATAACTCTGATAAATAATGAGATTTATTCCACTCATTCCCTTTTCTTCTTGTTCCCCTTCTCCTTTCTTTAATTCATTGTCAACACTACCAAAATCTCCAGCAATAATCCTGTATTGCTACTAAACTTCAATTCAAAATGTTTCTTCGAAGTTAACCTCCTACCACAATTTTAGGATTTAATTTTGCCAAGCCATGGAAAAACCAGTAACTTGTGAGATTTCACAAGAGCTCTCCAAGATTTTACACCATGACCATAAATGTACCCTCAAAATCTGTGAATTCTAATGTAACCTTGCTTAATTTGATCAAAGTATTAAACTTCATTTAAAGCCCTTCTTTTTTCATTTTCATCATGTAAGCATGTGATCATGTGTTGGATTTCTAACACAATTTAGGTACACAAACACATACTTATCCACAATTTCATTTATGATGATTAATTGTATTTCTTCACTGTACTAAGCACCCCCTTTACTGACAGTACAACATGGAGAAAACATATATTTATGTTGTAGTTGTAGTTGTACTATGTGCACCTCCTTCATTCACAAAGAAATTCAAAAAAAAAAAAAAAGTTATTTACTCAACATATAAAGCATTTGAGAGGAAAAAAGAAAGGGGGAAAGAAGAAAGAAACTTACTTTCTTAATGCAGCATATGCCTCAGCCTTTTCGAGTGGATAACCAGAGGAATAGAAGGCAATCAAGCAATCACATATTGGCCACCTGAGATAATTTAGACATTGAGATGAATAATTCATCTGGTAGAGACAAACTCTTACACACTAAGGATGCCTTCTACTCTAGAAAAAGGTAGCTGAAACTAAATAATTGAATTTACTTAATCAGGGTTGGAGACACTTCACAAACACACGTGTCTTGTGTTTGGACAAGCCTTAGAACACTTTTTTTTTTTTTTTTTTAATTTTAGAAAGTTGATTTGGGGTCAAAGTAAAATAGGAAAACAAAGAAGGGGCAAGGGAGCAAAAAATAAAAATACACCCACATGCACATTGATGCTCTTATACCTCTGTCTAAATTCATGTTCATCTACATGGATAATAATTTATTTATTTTTTTGGTCATATTCCCACCGTGTTTGTATCCTAATTTTCTTTTAAATTGTTGTGTCCCATGTCTGTGTCCATGCTTCTTATAACCACCATGTCATCAACACACATAAAGTAAACCAAAATAGCATTCGGAGAATGCTTTTCAACCCGTGAACTCTCAGAGTAACTCAACTAGAAGTAGCCTTCGCCATACTGTACACAAAAATACTTTCCTTAAATTCTTAAGGTGAAAACTACATCTCTTTATGCCTAAAGTTATTTTCTTCTCAAGGAAAAGATCCCCATAAATGGTTCCTGCCAAACAAATGGCCAAGGGACATTTCTCTACAACTACTCTTATATTTCCACAGGATATTACACATTTGACCACCAAGTTGGTCATCTAAATAAAAATTAAAAAAATAGGGAAAAGAAAGTCCAAACTAGTAAACATCACACATGGTTTCTACAAAATATGTCAAAGATAAACAACAAATAATCTTGTCCTACCATGTTTGTAGCTTGCATTGAAGGCATGTAACATTTAACTTATGAAATTTATAAATAAAAGTTTAATCTATCAGATGTTAGTTTAAAGAAGTGAGTATTGTATCGTTGATCAAAATAATACTTCAAAAATGTGTGTGCACGCGCATGCATGTGTGAGAGAGAGAAAGAGTATACATACACATGTCACAAATTAAAATGCATTAAAAATTAATACAAGCGTTATTTCTGTTACTGATGAGAAAGAACTTAGGCTTGCTAGTTTTGGCAAAGGATAAAATCATGCATGTCTCTAATTTAAAAAATTAACTTGCACAAAATATCTCATTCATATCCTCTACAAAACCAATACTAACTAAAAAAATAAACAAAAAATTAAAAATAAAATGCCAACTAAAAAACAATCAAAGAGCAATACCTCTAAGCAAACATATTATACAGTGGTAAAAACAGACCATACAGTACACTTGCACATATATGTTTCATCAAACTGCATTGAAATGTACCTCTCTATAGGATCCTCAACAATAACCTTGTCCCCAAAATGTATGATCTGCAACAATATTATAGAGAAATCACCATAAACAACACAGCGAGCAATTAACAAACTTGTCATCATAGTTAATGTACGAATTAGAATGCATTGTTACTAAATTGATCTCCACATATATAATTTTTATTTTTTGCTCCAAATCAATTTGCAATAGCAATCCAATACCTCAAATTCACCAAAAGCCTGTAGTCTATCCAAAATCTGGGCCATCGGAGCCGAAAAAACCTATAGCAAATAGGCCTATTAGAATCGATTGGAGAAGATTGTGTTATACAAACAGAAGATTCATGCATGGTTTCGTTTTTAGATTATATGCAATGCCAGCAACAAGAACAGAACCTCGGAGCCGCATTTCACCTTCTTTTCCATTACGCATACACCAATCGTTATCTTTCTACCAACACTTCCCTCCTCCTCCTCCTCCTCCTCCATCTCTCTCTCTCTCTCTCTCTACAGGTGCAGTTCACGGCGTCAGCGGTGGCGGCGGCCCCTCTACAACTGCGCTTTTAAATCTCACTTTCACTGCTCAAACTAAAACATATATATTTATAGGAATGTCAACTAATTTTAAAAAATCAAAATTTAAAAATAAAAAAAATACCGTAAAAAAATAAAAAGTGCAGCGTGAATCGGTACCAGAGAGATGCAAGTATCGCGGGAGAGAAGAGAAGATCTCATATCATAAAAATAAAAGAGTAATGGTAAGGAATATGTGTTTACGAGAGCCGTAAGGCGTGAGGTTGTCCAGTCCGGTCGGCATTATTAGGCGGTTTAAGGAGGGTTTGGTTTGGAGCTTGCTTTTCCGGTGGTATATTTTTATTTTTAATTTAACAAAAACAAATTATTTTAGGTTTTTAAATTTTACTAGACGAATTGAAAGTTTAATAAAATTTTTGAAAAATTCAAATATAAATTTAAATAAGTTAACTTTTTTTAGTTTATTTTGGTTTTTTTATTTTTTATTTTTTATTTTTGAATTTTAAAAAATATATTTTTAAAATTCGTTACACAATAAGAATCGTAAAAGTAAAATTTTTTGATATATTTTTTAAAAAATTACTAAATACAAAAAAAAATCAAAAAAATAGGTGGCTTATTTTGGTGTTCTCAAATCACTTGTAACTTTTAGTTTTCATAATTATATCTTTTTAGATAATAAGCTTAAAAAACTTAAATTAAGGCACTGTTTGGCATTTACTAAATAGCATATGTTATTTTAGCACGTTATCTTATTTAGGTCACAATTATTTTATTTTGGTCATATCATCTGTCTACTATATCACTTCAAATTCAATTCATATTTTATATTTTTTTGTAAAAAATTTAAAAATATATTAATTTAGCACATGTCAAATAGCCTCCAAGCTATACAGCTGTTTGATACAGCATTTTATAATACGTACAAAAAAAAAAATTAAAGTTTTTGGTTGATTAAGTTGTTAAATAGTTTTGCAAAAGAAATGGAGGCTTCATTGCCAAACATATTTAAATACAAATTATAACTTAAAAAAAAAGCTGAAACATATTTAAATGTTACAAATTATAACTTAAAAAAAAAAAAGCTGAAAAAGGCAAATAAAGGATAATTCAAAATTATAACCAAACTATATTATAGTTGTCTTATTGGCTTTTGACATTTTGTCAAACGACTACTTAATACTCCAGTTGAATTTTAATTTTTCACAAGTTAAGGCTATAATAAAAAATAGAAAATTCAATTCAATTTTAAATAATTAATTTTTTCAAGTTACGCAGTAATTTTTTTTTTTAATCTCCTAAACACTAAACAAAAATTATACCTAACATTATAATTTTAAAAAAAATTATAAATAGTTCATTAAATTATGCCAAACAAAGTTGAGATGTAAATTCCAAAAACCTATTTCCAAAATTAGGTTTTTGAAATTTATTTATAATGGATATATGTGGTGAAAATTAAATTTATGAAATATTGAATCCACAAGTAAAATTAATTTGAATTATTAATTATTATTTTTAAATAAATAATTTTAAATTTATAATATTACTAGTGTAAAAGGGCTGAATTCTCGAATATACCGACGCATTCGGGAAATTGGGAGGCGGACAGGTTTGGAGTTTGTACAATTTGACTTTTACATTGAGTTGGTTGTCACTTTCATCATCTTTGGTCTTTAATGATCGTTAATATAAAGTTTGAAGGTATTATCCTACCACGGGGTTATAGGTAGTTAATTGGGTTGGTTTTTTAATTTTTTTTTATTATTTTAATTTATGGTTAAAAAATTTTGTTTGAAAAGGGTTTTTTTTATTTTTTTGACTTTTTGTGAGAGAAAAATATAATGATTATGAATTAGATATGATATTTTACCTTATTGAGTTAAAAAATTCATTTTACCTTTTTTGTGATTAAAATAACTCAATCCCAACCCAACCCTTCTTTCCAAACAGAGGCTTAATAAAAGAGTTTGTTTCTCTACTTATTAATCAGTATTCAAATCCATTACTACTCAAATAGAAGTTCGACAGTTTATGTAAATTAACTAGCTACTCTCAATTTGGCTTATAAATATGATAGATTGGTTAGCTTCTCCCAATTTAATTTGTACAGGTGGATCATAAGAGTTCTGCCTTAAGAACGAAAAAAAAAAAAAAAAAAAAAAAAAAAAAAAAAAAAAAAAAAAAGGGAACAACGGGAGTGCCCAACTTTGTTTCAAATTTTTTTTTTTTTTAAATTAATACCCACAAAATGCGTCACTAAAGCGTTTTGACACACATTATAAACATTTCATAATTTAAAGCATCATTATCACATGTTTGACTGTTTGTACTACTAAAAACATATTAAAAATTAAAGTATACATATAATTTTATATAATATTTACATGAAGGCAGGTTTCATACAGTGCAAGTCTTGTATTTATGTGAACATTATGTAAAATTTTTAATAATTTTTTTAAATTCCTAACAGTGCTTTATAGTAGGGTCCTGTTATGGTGTGCAACCCCTTAAGGTTGCACACCATATGCAACCAACACAAAAAGTGTAAATGAAAGGTGTAAACATAAAACAGGACAACAAACAGAAAGGCGTAAGTGTAAGGTGTAAGTTGCACACTTAAAAAAAATCCTAGTAAAATAATTGTAATCTTAAAGAATGCTTTTAGAATATTCAAACCATCTCATCATCAAAATTGATAACTTTTTGTTTTTGTTATATTTTTATATTCTACTTTAAGTCATTTAATGGATGTGGTGCACAAATGCCATTTGCACACATGAGAGGGGAGACTTGCGCCGTTAGTACGGCCGAGCTAAGACGGCACGGATCTGTTTTGCTCGGTCTTAAAGACCGGCTGACCGGCATGAACTAAGCCAGGCCGAGCTACGACTCGCAAATATCCGGCAGTGCACACAGCCAAGTGACGAGACCGGGCTACGGATAGCTCGGGCTAAACTATGGACAAGCGAGGCTTGGTACGTCTCTGACCAGTGAGCTGAGATGGGCAGATTCCAGAGAACCTCGGATGAAGGTAGAACGGATGGAGGCCGGCATGCCTCGCGACCGGTATGCCACGACGAACCGGTCAATTCCAGCCCGGTCCATGGGCGTCACCCCGCCGACCCTTTGCCAAGGGGCAGTCCGGTGGGGCATAGCGCGGTTGAACGCCTCTAACGATAGTTCTTCGTGGGAGATAGGCCGGTCGTGGTACTGCGGTCAGGTGTGCCACTTGGGCCAATGGCGCGAGGGAAGGGACATCTGCTCCACGCATGCCTCAACACCGTTAGGCAGTTCTGCGTGTACTGTTGGGAGGACTAAGCCTTCACACGCGTAAGGTGGTGAGAGGCGAGTACTGCCACCTGTCTTGGGAAGGACAGCAAAGGTAGTGCGCGCATAATCTTGAGGCTACATGGCCAGCCTTGAAATAGGAAGGAGGACGAACGTTAGAGGTATGCAACTTCTTCCCCAGAGAAAACACTCTCTCTCTCTCTATCTGTATTCTCCTTCCTCAAGTGGTCTGACTTGATCGTCGGAGGGTCTATCCGGCACACCACCGCCGGGCAGCTCACCGTTTCTGTGTTACCAGGTAGACGCCGTCAAGAGAAGCTTGGAGTATAAGGGGTACGGAAAGCAGAGGATATTTCGCCCCCATACAATTGGCGCCGTCTGTGGGAAGTTTTTTGATACTCAACCCGTTGAACTCTTGTGCAGGTTCCTCTGTGGGCTTGGTACCTCAGACACTGGTTTGGAAAATGTGGATCAGTCTGACCCGTTCTATCTGGAACACGTTGTATCATCAGTTGGCGCCGTCTATGGGAAACCTTTTGCTTCGCGCACCAGTTGTGTTCATTGTCGCCAAAGACCCTTTCCCAATAACCCCATCCCGCGCACCTACTAGGGTGAATGGTCACGACTAGATCCATGACTTCTCACCACAATGTTGCCGACCACCAAACCGACCCTCCCAATCCAAACAACCTGCCGCAATATTTCACTGAGCTCACCAACAGCATTAACCACCTTGCCGAGCAAAACCAAGCCCTGATTAATGCTCTACTCTAAAGAAACCTTCCAATGCCTCCTCCACTACCTCTAGATATCCCACCCAACCAAGAACGAGCCCCGAGCCATACTATCCAGCAACCCCATCCACCCAACTTGGAAGGCTTGCGACCCCCTCCCCCAAATATAAACCCGCCACCCCGGGTCCCACCTCTATCGGTCCAAGCACCCACACCCGAGGGAGAGGCCAATAGTGTCCAACCCCCGCTGCATTCCGGTGATGACAACATTCCACTTTGGGACACGGAACTCCGAGCCATGAAGCTCCACCTCCAAGGAGTCATGCAGAACATACAACATAAACCATCTACCATAGCCAACTCACCAATCGTTGCCTCTATCAGGGACAAACCTCTACCTTCTAAGTTTAAAATGCCCTCGATTGACTCTTTCGACGGTACAACGGACCCAGTCGATCACTTGGAGACCTGCATGACCCTTATGATCCTTCATGCATTCCCTGATGAAATCATGTGTCGGGCTTTCCCCGTAACACTTAAGGGGTCAGCTCGACTGTGGTTTAGTCAGCTACTAACGGACTCTGTCTCTACCTTTCAGCACCTGAGTGACTCTTTTCTCAGCCACTTCATTGGTACCCAGTGCCAACGGCATTCGACAACTCAACTCCTTAACATCCGTCAGACGGAAGGAGAGTCGCTACGCAGCTTCGTCACCCACTTCAACACCGAGGACTTGCAGGTGGCAGAAAATGATGACAATGTCATTCTCACGGCTTTCATGGCCGATCTACGATCATCTGATTTCCTTTTTTCCCTCTCCAAAAACCCCCCGACCTCCATGGCAACCCTACTTTCCAAAGCCCAAAAATACATGAACGCCGAAGATTCCCTAGTCGCCCGACAAGATCCTATAGCCAAAAACTCGACCCC